CAAGGCCTCAAGTGGCATTTGCTTAATTTGGGTTTGTAATGCAAATGTCAAAAGTACACTGGCCAAAATGCTAATCCGCCTTCACTCATAAGCATCTGCTTCGCATTAGTGATGATAAACACTTCCATGTAAATAGTTCGAGCCTCCTTGTGACCCCAGACTCCATCCAAGTGGACATAGGCTGTGAAATCACTGTGGAGTGAGGAACAGGGGGATGAAAGAGATGAACATCAATAAAAACAATACAGGGAGAAAAAGAAAGTGAAAGAGAAGAAGAAGAGGAGGAGGAGTTTGGATTTGATATCTCGCTTTACCACTACCCGAAGGAGTCTCAAAGTGGCCAACAGTCTCCTTTCCCTTCCTCCCCCACAACAAACACTCTGTGAGGTGAGTGGGGCTGAGAGACTTCAGAGAAGTGTGACTGGCCCAAGGTCACCCAGCAGCTGCATGTGGAGGAGCGGGGAAGCGAACCCAGTTCACCAGATTATGAGTCTACCACTCTTAACCACTACACCACACTGGCCTTTACAGTTATACCCACTCAGCTTGAAACCAGAGGTGGGGATGTGAAAGGAGAGTTGAGTTTGTAATCCCTCCAACGACATCTTTCTGAGAAAATGTCACAGACCTTTCTTTTTTCTCTCACCTGGCTGCTAGAAAAAGAAGGCCGTGTTGCAGAATTTTCTCAGAATATTCACCGCCATTTTTTTAATTTAGAAAAGGCTTCTGCATTTTCCTCCCCACAGTATCCAGGAATGGCATTAACTGTGTGGATGCAAAATGGATGCCAATCTGTTGACATGCAGGATTGCGTGCAGAACATCTCAGGTTCAGTCCCCAATGGTAAGGCTCCAGGCAAGGCTGTGGGTGTCCCTTGCCTGAAAAACCCTGGAAATCTTCTGCCAGGAGTGAAATACATGGACCAATGGTCTGGTTCAGGATAAGGCAGCTTCTGATAGTCCCTAACACAGTTGCTGCTGCTGCTGAGTCAGCAAACAAGCAATCACCCCACTACCACCAAGAAAAACCCCTTAAGAAAAAGAATGAACGAATGAATGAGTGAGTGAGTGAGTGAGTGAGTGAGTGAGTGAAAGAAGGTGTTCAAACAAACTCCTGAAAAAATATTGATTGATGGATTGATGGATTGATTGATTGATTGCTGGCATCTATATCCCCACCGTTCTTCCAAGGCACCAAATGTGGCCTGAGTGACTCTCTTCCTCTCCTTGCTTCACCACACATCTCTTGGCTCCTTGTTTACTCCAGACTGCTGCCCGCAGCCTGGTCCAGACAGGCTCAGAGCCCCTGGCTATACCTCCAGTGTTACCTGAAGCACCTGGGACACAGGAATCCCTTGCTTTTGGGCCCTCTCCCCTCCCGCCCCCTACATCAGCCCCCTCTGCAGTCCTCCCCCCCATTCTGTTTGCTAAACAGTAATTGCACCCCCCTTTCCTGCCACTTTAATACTCCCGGCTAATTATCCTGAAATAAATCTCTTTCAAGTCTGCATGCCAGCAGTTGTGGGATATGAGCTGCTCTTTCAGCTCCCGGCTGCCTGTCAGTCAAATGGGTCTCAGCTGCAGTTCCGAATGATGAGAATTAGCCCCCCGCTGGGATGATTCTCCCAATCTCCCCACTTCCAACAGCATTTCCCAAGGCTTCACCACGCTTCTACCTGTTAGCCTAATCTGGGATTTTCTCTTGCTAACGCCGTTATTTTGAAAAGAGGAAGAGGATTCCTAGGAGAAAGACACTCTGTTAACCTTTTCCTAATTGCCATTCAAGTCTGAAAGAAGGGGGAAAGGGAGAAAAAACATGGCGGATGGATGTCACCAGAAAAGAATACTCGGGCCTCAAATTCAATCCCAGGCCTATTCTGAAGCTAGACAAAGCAAACATGATCCACCTTCCCATATTCTTGCTCAGTTTGGTCCCTTTTCCAACATTTGGGAATCTGTAGGGGGAAAAATTGCACTGTCTAATATATTATCACTCTACTTTGCTTTTAACACCAAGAAGCTTCCCTGTCTACGTTTGGAAATCCAAAGGAGAAAGCTATTAGCTCTATCACCCGATTTTTGCATCCTCGCTCGGTCTCCACTATTAAGGAAACTTGGATGCACATAGTACAGTGGTACCTCGGGTTACATACGCTTCAGGTTACATATGCTTCAGATTACAGACTCCGCTAACCCAGAAATAGTACCTCGGGTTAAGAACTTTGCTTCAGGATGAGAACAGAAATCGTGCTTTGACGGCGCGGCGGCAGCAGGAGGCCCCATTAGCTAAAGTGGTGCTTCAGGTTAAGAACAGTTTCAGGTTAAGAACGGACCTCCGGAACGAATTAAGTACGTAACCAAAGGTACCACTGTAATAGCTCCCAGTTGAGCTCCCCGTTTTCCCAGTTGAGGATTTCTAAGGCATTGTCGGAAAAGACACCAGGTAATTCGGAATGCTAAAATCCAAGGAGAAGTTTGTATGATAAAAAATTGGGAATCATCCTTACTGATACTTGCCAAACAGTTGCCAGTTCATTTGGTGGCATGATACATGGTGGGAGAAGTGTTAATTGAGGTCTGCCGAGAAGAGAGGTGTGGATACTGTTAAGCGGCCACAATGCCTTTCTGCTCATATCTCTCCATTCTGCAATTTGCCTTGTAATATTTTAAATAGGTTTTTTCCATGGGTGATGCCGGTGGATGGCGTGTGACAACCCGGGTCAATGTAGTCTCGCGTATATGACTATGCACAAGAAATCTGAGAGCATGCACAATAGGAAGATGCTATGTTGAACAAACGGACGTGGGGAAAAGTAGGGTTTCCCAGGCTCAATGCACCACATTGCTCTGCTTTATTCTTTATCAATATTTAACTGAATGTTTTATTGATGGTGGTCTGTGTTTTAATTTATGTATTTTGTTGCGACTTTGGTTATAAAGCTCAATATAGTTTTTCTTTTCTTTTAAATTTTTAAAGTCATTTTCATTAGTTATTAAATTTGTATACTGCTCTATAGCTGCAGGTTTCAGGTTGGTTATCCCAATATAAAATTACAATATAAAAACACAAAAAACCATAATAAAAACAAAAACAAGTTACAACCCCAAAACCACAAATTAAGCAGTATGTAAATATTGAAAACACAGCATTGGTCCTAAGCAGGGATGGAAGGATCTGTTGATTTTAGTTCTCTCTCTCATTTTTCCAACCTTAAATTCAGATCTACACATTTTGCAGCAATTGATGACTGTCCTTTAAAAAAACCCCACATGGAAATTCATCCATATTTTAGTGTGATTTTCTCCTTGTAAACACATTTTATATGCAGTTTTGACTAGCGTGCACATATCATCATGCCGAAAGTAACATGAGATGCAGACCTTTCAGGACAAGCCAACGACGACGACAAGAACCAAACCACGTTCCTCTCTGATTAGCATTCTTCTGACCAGGAAAAGCACTTTGCAACCTTGTTTATGTTTGCAAGAACCCTGTGTGTGCTGCTTGTCTTTTGCAGTCAGGAAACAAACAAAAAGAGAGAGGTTGCCCATGGCGTCTAGTGCATCACTGGCCGAAAAGGGATTTGAAAATGAGGCTTTTCAGTCATGGGATGGTAGACAGGGTTGTTTGGATAGTAGTAGTAGTAGTAGTAATAATAATAATAATAATAATAATAGTAATAATAATAATAGTAATAGTAATAATAATGTATTATATATACCCCACTCATCTGGCTGGGTAATAATAATAATAATAATAATAATAATTTATTATAATAAATAAGTAAAATTATATATACCCCGCCCATCTGGCTGGGTCACCGCAGCCACTCTGGGTGGCTTCCAACCAAATATTAAAAACAATACAGCGTCAGACATTAAAATTTTCCCCAAACAGGGCCACCTTCTGTTGTCTTTTAAAAGTAAAATAGTTGTTTATTGCCTTGATGTTTATTGCAATGTTAGCCACATTGAGACTCCTTTAGGTAGTGATAAAGTGGGATATCAAATCCAATCTCTTCTTCTCTTCTCTTCTTCTTCTTGACATCTGCTGGGAGGGCGTTCCACAGGGCAGGTGCCACTACCGAGAAGGCCCTCTGCCTGGTTCCCCGTAACCTCACTTCTCGCAGTAAGGGAACCGCCAGAAGGCCCTTGGACATCAGTAGTGGATGATGGGGGTGGAGATGCTCCTTCAGGTATACAGGACCGAGGCCATTTAGGGCTTTAAAGTTCAGCACCAACACTTTGAATTGTCCTCAGAAACGTACTGGGAGCCAATGAAGATCTTTCATGTCTCTGCGACCACTCCCTGTCACCAGTCTAGCTGCTGCATTCTGGATTAATTGCAGTTTCCGTGTCACCTTCAAAGGTAACCCCACCTAGAGCGCATTGCAGTAGTCCAAGCGGGAGATAACCAGAGCATGCACCACTCTGGTGAGACAGTCCGCGGGCAGGGAGGGTCTCAGCCTGCGTACCAGATGGAGCTGATAAACAGCTGCCCCGGACACAGAATTAACCTGCGCTTCCATGGACAGCTGTGAGTCCAAAATGACTCCCATGCTGCGCACCTGGTCCTTCAGGGGCACAGTTACCCCATTCAGGACCAGGGAGTCCTCCACACACGCCCGCCTCCTGTCCCCCCAAGACAGTACTTCTGTCTTGTCAGGATTCAACCTCAATCTGTTAGCCGCCATCCATCCTCAAACCACCTCCAGACACTCACACAGGACCTTCACTGGTTCTGATTTAAAAGAGAGATAGAGTATCATCTGCATATTGATGAACACCCAGCCCAAACCCCCTGATGATCTCTCCCAGTGGCTGCATGTAGATGTTAAAAAGGGTAAGCTGCTGAAACTCTTTGAAATGGGGAGGGGCTGCACCTCAATGGTAAAGTTTTGCATGCAGAGGTTCCCAGGTTCAACCCCCACCATCTCCAGGTAGGGCTGGGAGTGTCCTCAATCTGAGAACTTGGGGAGCTGCTGAGCTAGATGCTCCAGTGGTGGTGGAAGGACCATAGCTCAATGGTAGAGCAACTGCTTTGCATGCAGAAGGTCCCAGGGTCAATCCCAGGCATTTCCAGGCAGCTTAGAGATACCTCTGTCTGAAATCCCAAAGAGCTGCTGTCGGTTAGTGCAGACAATACTAAGCTATATGGACCAGTGGTCTGACTCGGTATAAGTCAGCTCCCTAATGGTCTGACTTCAGCGTAAGGCAGCTTCTAATAATCAACATCCTATGTGCTTTCTATGCTCTCAAAGCCATACAGTATTTACGCACTGTACGTACACTTGGAATTTGGAAGGGAAAGGCGGTGGCTCAGAGTCAGTGTAGACAACACTGAAGCAGATGGACCGAGTAAGGGAGCTTCCCAGGTGGACGAAGCAAGGCTGATCTCCATCCCTCCAAATGCTGGACTCTGGAAATGAAGGTGGCAGTTCTCAAAGCTGTTTGGGAAACCGTACAGGGCTGTACACCCCCATCGTTCAGCCCGGATATGGAGGTCCAGCTTCGAGGGCCTTTTGGTGGTTCCCTCACTGTGAGGAGTGAGGCTACAGGGAACCAGGCAGAGGGCCTTCTCAGTAGTGACGTCTGCCCTGTGGAACACCCTCCCATCAGATGTCAAGGAAATAAACAACGATCTCACTTTTAGAAGACATCTGAAAGCAGCCCTGTTTAGGGAATTTTTAATGTTTGATATTTTATTGTGTTTTTAATATTCTGTAGGGAGCCACCCAAAGTGGTTGGGGAAACCCAGCCAGATTTGTGGAGTATACATTATTATTATTATTATTATTATTATTATTATTATTATTATCATCATCATCAGAGAAATCAGATCCCCTCCAGTCAGGAAGTGCTGGGCAAAATTCCTTCTCTCTCCCCCCCCCCCCAGTTTCTATTACAGTTTTTGCAATTCTATGAAATTATATGTAGAAGAAATGAAGTCCCCTGCACAGACCCCTCCCTTCTAACCACCACCTCTCTGTATGTAACTTAGAATAATAATAATAATAATAATAATAATAATAATAATAATAATAATAATAATATATTTATACCCAGCCCATCTGGCTGGGCTTCCCCAGCCACTCTGGGCGGCTTCCAACAAAATATTAATGTACAGTAATGCATCAAACATTAAAAGCTTCCCTAAACAGGGCTGCCTTCAGATGTCTTCTAAAAGTCTGGTAGTTGTTGTTCTCTTTGACATCTGGTGGGAGGGCGTTCCACAGGGCGGGTGCCACTACCCAGAAGGCCCTCTGCCTGGTTCCCAGTAACTTGGCTTCTCACAGTGAGGGAATTGCCAGAAGGCCCTCGGTGCTGGACCTCAGTGTCTGGGCGGAACGATGGGGGTGGAGACGCTCCTTCAGGTATACTGGACCGAGGCCATTTAGGGCTTTAAAGGTCAGCACCAACACTTTGAATTGTGCTTGGAAACATACTGGGAGCCAATGTAGGTCTCGGTGGCCGCTCCCAGTCACCAGTCTAGCTGCCACATTCTGGATTAGTTGTAGTTTCCGGGTCACCTTCAAAGGTAGCCCCACGTAGAGTGCATTGCAGTGGTCCAAGCAAGAAATAACTAGAGCAGAACTGTAGAGCTCGAAGGTATCCCGAGAATCATCTAGTTCAACCCCCCTGCAGTGCAGAAATGTGCAGCTGTCCAATATGGGGATCGAACCTGCAACCTTGCTGCTATCAGCACCACGCTCTAACCCACTGACCTGAAGTTCCTTCTGATGGACCTGCTGTTATGTTGATGCTTCCACCTGGCTTACTTGGAGCCGGCAGAAGCACCCTAAGGGCGACGGGGAGCCGTAATTTCAATTTCTCAACATGCCCAGCAGAGTGTCAATGCAGGACACTGGAGACGTGGAAATGTCGTTCTCGAAGCCAGCTGCCTGATGAGCAAGGCCCACGACAGGTATCAACAATGCTGGGCCCTGCTGGGTTATTAAGTACTGGGCAGCTGTCCTAGGATGCTAGGTGCTGACTGTGGGATGTGAAACACAAGGGCAGTCAAGTACAACATTCCTAGAGTGAACATGTTTACACATGGGGAGGAATGTTTGTCCAGCCAGCAGGTAAACTTCCTGTTTCCTTCTGGGCTGGGACAGACTTCCTCTGCATGTGACTAGAGGGGGTGTGGCCTCACCTGTGCAGGTAATGACAAAAGCACAGGGCAGGGAAGCCATCTCTCTCTCTTTGACTACATGCATCTTCTTAGCCAAAGATGCTCCCTTGGCTTCTAGCCAAGAGAGGACAATGGGACTGTCTCCTTATGAGATAGTTTCCGGGTGTATGTTACTTTTCTAAGCTAAGTCTGCTTTCTGGGATCCGACTGTGAACAGAATGTGAGTAAACTCTTTTTATACTTTTATAGAAGACTGTGTTGTGTCTTATCTTTTATGAGGGAATAAGGGGAAAATACCAGAACAGTTATTACAGAGGCTTTAGCGAGCCTGAGCAAACACATCCGCTGCAAGTTTAAAAAGGGGAACGTTACTCTGCTAAATTGTGAACTTGTTAACACAAGTTGGAAAGGCTATAACCAAACAATATATCCTCTCCTGCATCCCTGAACATTCCCACACTGACTCCAGGTCTGCCACTTTATTTCCAACTGGATCATGGCAGCAGATGGGATTTCTGTTGGTTAGAAAGAGTTGGGGAGCAGGTTCTAGCTATTGCCTGCTTCTCCAGGAAAGGCCTGGGAGTTCCCTGCCAGAAATCCTAGAAAGAGCTTTTGCTCATCAGCTCAGATAAGGCTCAGCTGGTTGGACAAATAGTGCAACTCAGAGCAAGGCAGGTTTTTATGCGCCTGTGTTCTTGGAGGTGCACAGAATTCCTCTCCGCTGCTAAATCTAGTAACAATAATGTTATTATTAGTGCAGTTTCAACACTCAGCCAGCAAAGGGGACCCTGCGGACAGCGTGTGTATCCTGTGTAATTCCAAAATAAATTTCTCTGGCTGCATAATAGGTTTGGCGGCTGCCGGAGTGAGGTTTCGGATTAAGATTCCATCCCTGAAGCAAAGTGTTTCTGGTTAGCAGTTAAACGTTCACTCATCAAGCAACCCTGCGCTGCCCCTGGTTCTTTTCTAAGAGTTGGGAGTTTTCCCCTTTACCCGCTCTTTCTTTCATGTTCAGTCCCGAGTTGTTGTTTTTTTATTAAAAAAAAAAAAATCCTGGGATGTGATGTGCTGAATTAATTCCATTAACCGTTGAAGGAATTTTCGTCCCTGCCAAATTATATTTCCTGCATCTGTAAATCATTTTACCGCCTCCGTCTGCAGCAGTTTGGCAAGTGACCTTTCGGGGGTTGTGATGGCAGTTTGTTTGTTTGCTGATGACACCCCCTCACTTAACCCCTCCAGAAAAAGGGCGCCATAGGAAGATGGTGGCTGTGTGCAAATGACCAGCCCCGGTGTTTTCGCTCCACTGGTGTTTGAAGTCAAGTTCACGGAATGCCAGCCACCACCCTTATGGCTTCTGGAGACATGCGGCTGTTTGATGCTTCCATCTGATTTGGGGAAAAACCAAACAAAAAAACCCCAATCCACAGCAAAGCTGAGGTATGTACATATGAGGCAGCCATTGCACATGCTCAGATGATAGCATGTGAGTAGATGACAGCTTTATCAAGTAGAAGATAGAAGGAGGGGGAGTTGCAGGTAAAGGAAAACAAATCAGGTCGTGTGCATTGGGCAAAGACATCCCTACTCCTTCTCTGGTGCAAGTGACTTGAAATGGCAGTGGGGGGAGGGGAAGGATCTCATTGCATTAGGAGCCACGAATGTGGACATGTTGTTGTTGTTTAGTCGTTTAGTCGTGTCCGACTCTTCGTCACCCCATAGACCAGAGCACGCCAGGCACTTCTATCTTACACTGCCTCCCGCAGTTTGGTCAAACTCATGCTGGTAGCTTCGACAACACTGTCCAACCATCTCATCCTCTGTTGTCACCTTTTCCTTGTGCCTTCAATCTTTCCCAACATCAGGGTCTTTCGAGGGAGTCTTCTCTTCTCTTGAGGTGGCCAAAGTGGAGCTGTGAAATCACTGTGGAGCGAGGAGCAGGGGGATGAAAGAGATGAACATCAATAAAAACAATACAGGGAGAGAAAGAAAGAGAAAGAGAAAGAGAAGAAGAAGAGGAGGAGGAAGAGTTTGGATTCAATATCCCGCTTTATCACTACCCTAAGGAGTCTCAAAGCGGCTAACAATCTCCTTTCCCTTTCTTCCCCACAACAAACACTCTGTGAGGTGAGTGAGGCTGAGAGACTTCAGAGAAGTGTGACTAGTCCAAGGTCACCCAGCAGCTGCATGTGGAGGAGTGGGGAAGCGAACCCGGTTCACCAGATTACGAGTCCACCGCTCTTAACGACTACACCACACTGGCTTTCAGAGAGAGAGAGAGAGAGAGAGAGAGAGAGAGCGAGAGAGAGAGAGAGCTGGCAGGTGTGCATGCTTATTTCTGGAAAGTTTTAGTGTAGCCGAGCAGAGACATCTTAAATTACCCATTCCCAGCTCAAATTTGAGGATGGGGTAGATGGCAAAAGTTTCTGGACAGGCTGCTGGCCAGTAATTTCTGATTCATGTTATTTTAACATTTTCTTGAAATCTGGCTTGATATGGTTGCATTGTGGTTTTTGCACCGCTATAAAAAAATATATTTTGTCACGCACTGCCCTGGGCAAAAATTCAGACTGAAAGTATTGTGATGAGGTGGCATAAAAAAAATTTGCAGTAGTGAAAGGATTAGCACTAGCAAATTTCCCATCCCCTGACAGGCATGTGTCCTGCACCATCCCCAAATCTGCACTGGAGAGTTGGAGGAGCTTCGGAACAGATTTAGGGGCATGGGGGGTAGGGAAGGGGAGGTAGGAGAATGTTTTGTCATGCAAGGAGGAATCCTTGCGGTGATAGAAGGTTCTCCTTCCGTCTATGTTGAATACTGACAACAGCAAGAGCAAGAAGAGGATGGAGGGTGAATATGATGCCCTTCTGAGCCTCACAAAAATGACTTGTTGATCTATCTTTTCTCCAGGGCTCCAGCCTGATGAAGAAGAGGAGGAGGAGAGTT